AATGGAATAGAAGGGAATGGTTTGTGTGTTATATGATAGGAATAATCATTCATTCGATTAAATTCGTAAATCTTTTGAGTGCATTACGTCAGATTTCTTATACTTAATTCACCGATGTTGTTTTTCTCGGTGAGATCTAAGGTATTAGTTAAAAAAATTTCAGGGACTGATGATAACGCTGGGAAACATTTTATCTAATTAGTGCTGAATGTACATTTCTCAGAAACATCTGAAGTGAAGTGTCATGTATACCATTTCTGATTGGATGGTTGCTTATTCTGTTATTATGTTTAATATGGTTCCAGAACCATCCAAAAGCCCAAGGCCATCTGAAATACTATAAATACCCTTGATTTTCTGTACATAAAGAAACCTTGGAGCAAAGCATTTTTTCACTTTTCTTGTTTTTTCTCTTGTTCAAGTTGCATTGTAGATTTAATCTGGGTTTATTGGAAGAGCGTAGGAAACTGATTCAAGTGTTCAGTTAGTATGGTAAACCCATTTTAGTCGTTTTTTTTGTCATACACTAATATAAAATTATCAATAAAAATCATGAATTACTGAAACCATGTATTATACTAGATTGTAACCCCATGGAAATGAATACCGAAGATGTTCAAAAGTCATGATACCGTTAGATCATTCAGCTGAAATCGAATAAACCATATTTTCAATTTCAGTCAATTTGCGATATTCCACGACCTTTACTCAATTTAACAACTGATATTTATTTCACCTCTTACTTGTCAGAAACTTACATATCACATCTGAATGAAATTCAAGAATCTTTTTAGCAGCAAGTCACTGGTCACCAAATACTCATTGTTTAATGAATGTTTTATAACTTTTTCACTTAGTAGACAGTTTTTGATATAAACATTAGTGAAATAAATTTTAATGAATATATCTTTGATAGAAGCAACCAAGGGAACAAAAGGTTATGATTCCTCATTTAACGTCAATTCATTCAATCATATTAGTAGCCGTAGTATTTACAATATAGTCATGAGTAATGAACATGCCATGAGAATGATCACACAAAGAAAAACAGGAGAGAGAGAGAGAGAGAGAGTAACTGGAAAGAAAATATCAAGAGGATGATGATCAATACGATGACCTTAATCATACTGACAAGTAATCCATTATTATAATCATTATTCTGGTGGCAGCTAGTTAGTTAGACAAAGAAAATGAAGAGTAAGCATGATAAGAGAAAAGAAAAGGGGAGTAAGGTTTTTTTTTCCCTCCACTTTTATATAAATAAAAATACTATGGCCACAGAATACCTTTTGTAATGCGAGAGAATAAATAACTTAATTGTGATTTTCATTTTATTTAGTAGTGGATTTGTATATATGAGTATTTTGAATTTGCAATATAAAAGATAGAAAAGAAGATGGAGCTAAAATGATAACAGTTAGTCGATGAAAAGAATCACTAACTAATCTTGATGCTATGGCGATTGAATACGTTGTTCTCATATGTTGTGGCAACAACACTTCGATGTCATTTAATAGTTCTTATTATGCACCATTATTTCTGTACATTTCGACATACATATACTCCTTAAGTTTTAAAATTACAAAAATACTTATTTACTGCTAGATACAAGATGAAGTGTAACAAATGTACAAAACTCATCCGTTAAAACTTTTAAACCGAAATATTTTTCAAGATTACTAATAAATTCCTACCATTAACAGCATATCACATAAAATTATAAATACAACCTATTTGCTCGAAATTGTTAGAAGTAAATGATCTCATTCTAATGTCGAAGAAACATCAATCAGAATTGCCTACCAATTGTATTATTATCATTGAATGTTTGGTTAAATTGTATTGAGACTAAATCGAATATAATATATCCCTATCATAACGACCAATTGAGGAAATATTCATATTTTACGCAAGATTTCGATATTTATATTTCATGTTGACACTATCAAATTGATTGAAGTTAGACATTAACACCGTTGGATGCCAGTCGGCTCAGTGGTCTAGAGGGTAAGCGTTCGCGCGCGAGATCGTGGGTATGCACTGCTGAGGAGTCCCACAATAGGATAAAACGGCCATCCAGTGCTTCCAGGTTTTCCATGTTGATCTAACTCATGATCTCAACTATCAAATTACTATTAAATAAGACAATACACGTGATCAATCTGATGGAGTTCAGTTCGAACTTGAAACTTTGAGACTGAATGTCAAGTATTCAATTGATTAAGCTACAAAGAACTATTTTACTGAAAAAAATATATGAAATGACTGATCAGTTATTTGAAACACAGCAAGCACTTTTTTCACTCAATAAGTCTTCATAAGTTTACTTTAGAAATCTTAGAAATGGTCAATACATATCTGTCATATACAATAATCTATCATACCAACTGTAACAAAAATGAAAAGTTTCTATTATAGCACTTTAAGACAGACTTCATTAATACCCATTTGAAGGGATAAAAATAATTTCAGAGAACGTGATCATCATGTAAATCTATTTTACCAAATGTCAAAATAAAAAAAAATCGTACGTGGCTTTGTGAGAAGTGGCTTACTAACTTGACGCCTATATTCTAACCTCATCTAGTTACGCGTCAACACTACATTTTAAAGATTAAGGTTTTATATGGGATAAGTGAAGCTTTAGTTCATTTCTCACACACTCTTCAAATACAAATATTAACTTCCTGATGATTTTCACACAACTAGCATATATATATTTATATGAAATACGCAACATATACTTGAATTACTCCACTCCAATGAAAGTTATAAACTAGGCTACAGTTGGGAAATTTAATGTCACTTTTATGCTTTCTTTTCAGTTTGTGATATATTTTAATTTACTAATGATATTTAAAATATTCCATTCTTTAGTGAATGTGAGTTTTGTGGGAAATAACTTATATCATGTTATTGACAAGTGATTCATTGAGTTCACACATTTATTATGACTATATTCACTGTTGTTTATATATTACACACACTGAACTAGGTCACAATCAAATGGATATTTCGAAATGTTTTCTAAAATATCTAATTTTAAATAAATGAGAAAAAACGTCATCATTCATGAATAAAATAGTAACTATGATTTGTTGAACTTTCCAATTTTTGAACACAACTCATTTGTTTACTTAATTATATTATATGAACCAATATGAATTGTAATCACTGAATTTTATATTAGTTTACAGTTGGTTTCCCTATCCTATACAGTTTAATATAGTATGTTTTTTTTATACATATTTAAGTATTAAATGAATAAAGTGAAGAATACTTAAGAACGATGACTAGTTTTATTTATTGATAAGATAGATATATTTAAATTGGAAAAAAAACTGTGACAATACGGTGAATAGAGATTACACTTTGATATACTGAATCATTTGTACTTTTATATGATGAAAGTTTTTGAGTTTTATATTGGACGTTAATTATGTAGTATGTCTATTCATTGAAAAAGTAAATATTAACAGTTATTTTCTGAATAATAATAGTAATGTGAGTATTCATGAACTTTTTCTCAATCGAGCAAAGTGCTGACAAGTGACTACATTCGTGAGGGAATTCTCAGAGTTTCAGAGAAAAGTCGTCACCAGTGGAGCTAATCTATGTCAGGTATCTACTTCAGTACAATGGAAGATGGTCACGCAATATAGTGGATTGGTTGAGGTTAGACATTAAAACCGTTGGAAAACAGTCTGCTCAGTGTTCTAGAGTGGTCGCGTGCGCGACCGTGAATAAGCACTGCTCATGAGTCCCGTGCTCTGACAAAAAGGCCGTCCAATATTTTCAGATTTTTAATGATGGTCTAACATCGATCAACTGAGGATCTCAATCAAAAAACTTAATAGTCTCCACGACTATATACTGATAATTTCAAATATATATATTTAGTATATGGTAAACCTCCACATATCTCGAACTAACATTCTATAATTTACAATTGTAACAAGGTATGAGATCTAGAATATACAGATATTCCTGTTTAAGACTCGTCGTCTAAAGAGATTCGAATAAAAAAAGTGCTTCGAACACCATATTATTCACCAAGTGACTAAATTAAGATAATCGCCTTATTGTTTAACAGACACGGATGTATTTTTCATTTGAAAATATTTAGAACTGTGATTGATTAGTCTGTATTGCTATCTGTACGTACTAAGCATATAGCCTTGGAACTGTTTATTAAATGGAAAATTAAGTACAGTTAATTCGTGATTGGTTTTATTGATAACTCACGTTCTCTTATGTTGTATCTGGTACAGAAACAATACACAACAATAATGATGTTTCATTCAATAAAACACAGATCACTTCTATTAAACCAGTAAATTATGCTAAACAAACACATGAACTATAATGATATAACTTAAAAATTTATTATTCACAAAAAACTAGCGTTATAATAGTCGTTTATACTACTTGAAATCAAACGGAAGATTACCCTTATATAACTAGAATATGTTCATTTTAATTTAATTTTCAAGATTATTCAACAGGATAAAATGACACTATGAAATTCACAGAAGTATTACTATATGAATGTGAAATAGTCGAACCAAGATCAGACTAAAATTGAACTCGTAAATATGTGAATCTTAACAATCAAATATAGTGATTATGACTCGCTGTGTGTATCAGTATTGTCATGAAAAAATACTACGGGAGTGCGTAAAAGGGCAGTATTAGTCACAAACCGTCTGTACAATAGAAGTCGATAAGCGTAGTCACTATGCGAAGGAATGTATATTTAAAAATAACTACAAAATTTATGTTAAAACTAAAAGATTTACATAATCTAAAACAGTATAAAAAATTGTATGCTGAAAAAATTGCTATCTTCACATTATTATTATTATTATTATTATTATTACTATTATTATTATTATTTATTGATATCCTCATGAATCTTTATAATTAAAAATATTGGTTAGATAATCGATATTTACAAGTGAAATACGGGTTCAAATTAGTGAAATTAAGGGTAATTTTATTCAGTCTAAATATGGTCTCCACATTACTGGATGTTTAGTATTTATTGTCTCAGATGTAACTTCAGTAGATGAAGAGATCAATCCTCGTGTACAACTCATAGAATCGTTCACTACTGCATTATCCACTTTAACATGTTGAACACCGGTACTATGTACATCAACGGATTTATTCATCTCAACTAACGCCGATCGCGTTACAGGCACACTGAAAGCTGACAAATGATTATCACATGGCAATGACGAAGGTGATATTGACGACATATTTCTCATACGACTCAGAAATACATTACAGGATCTCTGATCTATGTTTGGTACTTTCACAGAACACATGTCTGTAGACTGAGCAGAATCCATACTCATTTTTGTTTTACTAACACCAACTACATTATTCACATTCGGTGTGAATCCCACTGACTGAATCCCACTACTGAAAAAACCACTATCACCATCACTCAATAATGAATTGTATTTGTGATTATATTGTAACGGTGTCGACTGCCATTGCATCATCAGTCCATTAACTCGTGAATGCATATTATTCAATGGAGTTGATGTGACGGAAGATGATAAGAATGATGCTGATGTTGATGAAGAGGAGGAGGAGGAGGAGTAGGAGTAGGAATAATTTACATGGGAAGAGATTGGAGTTGAATTACAACTACTATCGATAGTAACATTGTTAGGATAAGGTGTGCTGCAATGTCCAATCGATGAAGCATTTCTAATTATCAATCTCGGTGTTCTGTTCTCCTTATTATCTTCATCAATTGTCTGGTCGAAATTATCACAAGTTGGTAATGGAGATGAAATTTTTGGTGTACTGAACAGTTGGGTAGTAGCAGTAGCAGTAGTAGTATTCGAATAAGAAGAACAAGAAATGGTGGTAATAGACTGTGAATGTTGTTGACTTTGATGATAGGAACGATGGTGATGTGGATGTCGAGTAAATTTTCTTAGTGAATTGTCTTTCCCATTCACATTCAGAATATTTTGTATATGTTCATTGACATTTGATGTGGAATTATTTGTTGATGTAAATAATGACGGTGATGATGATGTTGTTGTTGTTGGGGATATTGAAGAAGAGTTTGGGATCTCATTCAAATTGAATCGCAATTTTCTCAAACGTGCCTTTAATTCTATTAGTGAAAGAGAAAAAAATAGATATTAAGATTAGTAGTTGTACAGAGAATAACTGAAACTATGGCAGTCGACAATATGATTTTTTTCACTTTATAAGTTGTTTTACACAACTATAGTCATTAATGATATTTTATATATATGCGATCACATTGGAAAACCAGCCAAAATCATCTCCATATATTTTTCAACTGGGATATTTGTTTTGTATGAACCTAGCATTTACTTAGAAAATTACATCATCATAATAAGAAAAATAATCTGAAGTACTCAGATTCATTGTAGATTAATTTAGTTAGCAACTGATTGTGAAGATTTCGTGTGACAAATGTATCATATAGTTCAACTAAAAGTAACTTTTAGTCACTGTTTAATAAATCTACCAGATTACTAAATAGTAGTCTTGACATGAAAAATTTTCAAATTCTGAATTCAGTGAAAGAATTCGCAAAATAAATAGAACTTGTACATGTAAACATGATAATTCGTTTTTTTTTATTCCCAGCTCATTAAAAGGTGATTTCAATATTATGCAACGCCGGTAACTGTTCTTTCAATTGAATGATCTAACTTACTCCAATATCTGTTATATTTTTTATGTTTATGATTCCTTTCTACTGATTTATCACTAAAAAATGTTAAGCATTGTAACACCAATCTCCAATTATCAATGATTAATAATTATCAATTAGTAATCAAGCCTATGATCAACGATTGTTTATTAGATATTTATCATATATGGAAACAATCGTCATTATTAGTATAGAGGGATTAGTGTTGACGCTAGAATTTTCGTAGTTCAAATCCCTAACTGATCTTGGACGACCAATGAAAAACCTGAAAACACCCGGTAATTTTGTCCTAGCATATGACACCTTAGAGAATGGATATACGCCTCCGCATCCGGAAATAAAACACCAGATCTTTCTCTCGTGCAAACCCTTAACTACTTTGATGAAATCCAGAGATGCTAATGTTAAATTTTAATCAATTCACGACATTGTGTAACCCAAATTTATTCTTTGAAATGTATAATTGTTTCATACTAAGATCAGTTCGTTATCTAAAGTGTGCAAATTGTCATTACACTTATTCTTCGAAAAAAAGTAGTCGTGATGATATCTTGGGAATATATAAAGTAACACTTAGAAAAAAACACTTACCTGGTTCATCTTTAGTCATATTGAAAATCCCTTCAAATACACTTTGACATAGATTCAAAATATCAGCTTTTTCAACTTTATGATATTCCTGAGGCTATAAAATGAAAAAAAAGAAAACACACATTGTGGAAGATCAGCTCCAAATAGATTGCTTTTTAAATGAAACACAAGAACAAGTATATAATTACTGGGTTAATACGCATTAAAAACAATATTCACAGTTTCTAAATCCATTTAAACTATGATTTCCATGTAGTTGAATCTTTTTCAAATGGAATTGGAGTTAACTGACTCATTATATCCCATGTTAAAAAAAATCAACTTCCAAATTTGATTGGTTTAACAAAGTACAGTTATGATTGTTAAAAAGCTATATAATTCTTTGATGATTTTGATTTTGATTATTACCCTGAAGAAGTCCAGACAAGTTAGCTGGACGAAACGTTGGAATTATTTTAAAAATTTCAATCGCTGAGATTATTTCAAATATAATTTATAATGACTTCTTTATACTCGGCGCCCAATATCTGTCAAACTATTCGTTCTAATCTTGACGAATATTCGTATATTATTATCTAATTAGTGTATGAAATAAGTTTATTGACATCAGCCAACTACAATTAGTGAAATGTATTAAGATAAACTCTGAGACATGTTTGATTAAATTTAAATTATCCAATTATCAATTAGCAATATTGAACGGGTCAATTTTTTCTGGAATCAGATTATGGTTACAACTGCTTCGCTTATTAATGTATACAGTTAATTGATTATAATTGTGTTTTGGTCAATATCAGAGTGCTAAAAGATTATAATTCTATCTGTTAGTCAATAAAATCACTACTGAATTACGTTGTTTTAGAGAGTATTTACAACAAACGTAATTTAAAAGTTAACTTCTGATTGCATGACGAAGAGTTCGTGACAAGTTTTAAAACATCACAATATTTCTCTGACTTGACCTTGTGAAACACTTGGTCAGTAGACTTTGTTTAAAATTATTTTAAATAAAACAGTGAACACTCCAAGCAATTTTTACATAACTAAAGTATTTTCAAAATGGTATTTTCCCGAAACTTACATCGATTCCAATTAGATTCATTGCTAAATTATGCAATGCATTCATTTTATCGGAGATACATGCACGTCGTCTACGTTCCATATTTTGTTTCTTTAACTGAATACGAAATGAAAAGTATAAACAATTACATATTTTCACAATAATTCATATGGTAGAAATATGTAATTTAGTCATAATTCTATTTAAAACGAATGAATTATCCGTTTTACCATATCAGTGAAAACCAATGTTCTCGAAAATGATAACTGTAACCGGGTGGAATTAATTCACTCTTTCTATTTACGATTGCACTTTATGAAATAAGCCTCACGTTGTATTAGTAGAGTACTGAATAATATCCCAGGTGGGACTTTTCATGATAAAAGTAGAATATGTACAATCAGTAGGTAATTTATCCGTTACTGATCAGGCACTTATTTACATAACTGTCAATTCAATTATGGACTTGTGTGTAATCTCATCGAATCTACTTCTACACACACTCAAGCAACCACGTGATCTATTATTCCTCTCACCATCTTATAATCACTAAGTTAGGGACACATCAAACATATCAAGTCGTTTAATAAGACACCAACACACAAATTTAACATCACACTATACTAATTATGACAAGCATACTCACCCGACGTGTTTGTTCTCTGATTTCAGGTGGAACATTTGATCGTCTTCCTCTTCGAGAACAGACGGTATTTTCACTGGATGGATAAGTTGAATTAGATCCATTCAAGTGATTTGGTTGTATATGGTAGGAGCTGTGAATATTGGTAATCGGTGGTACACGTGTATAGTTTCCACAAGATTCAGTATAGGGCATCATAGTGAATAGGACTTGTGTGGTCATCTGAGATTCTGGAATTTTTATACGGCTTTTTATTCTGATTGATTTGCGCGTGTTGATGAATGAGCCAATGACATTGGAGCTTGTGTCAGATGAGATATTTTGAATCGTGTGTAAATAGAAATGTCCAATGAGAAAATAGTTCGTGCGTAATGGTTGTGTCCACTTAGTGTTTAGATTGGCCAATCGACCGATGATGGTTGGACTTGAAATAACCATATCTATTTTGTCAAGGACAAGTTAAATCTTTCTTTTTTTTTTTAAAGGTAGTGAATAAAGACTGAGTTTTCAATGTTACATAATAATGATTTTTTCATAAACTAAAGGTTGTTACATATATTAATTATAATTTAACAGCTCAATAGCCTAATGTGTAAGCTCACATAACAAGACCTAAAAGTCGTGGTTTCAAACCCGAATGTGTTCACAGTTCCGCACTGTTGTGGTTTTTTATATTAGAATAAAACAACTGTTCAGTGTTTTTTTTTATAGTTAGTAATGTTATTTAACTTAGGCTTGTTCGTGATTCTAAATATTGATTCAGCAACCATATAAACATATATTGCAATCAAATCGGCTTTTTTTTCTGATGACTACTTTTAGTGGGAATTTTCGTTACTATGATGTTTTTTTTTTTAAATGATTAAATAGCTCAACTTATACAAAAAAATAATTACAATAATGACGAAAGATCATTAGTATTTTATGCTGTCCACATTTCTTAAGAACACCTGTCAGATATTTTCAATTTGTTTTTTGCAATAAGTGAACTAAAATGACTATAATAATAAAATAACAAGTGGTTACTACAAATAAACAAATAAATAAATGAGTACAAATAACTATGGTAATAATCTTATTGTATTTCGTTCCCATTCTTCCTTGTATGTAACAAGGCAATAATCATAATTATTATCATGTTTGTCTGCTACAGTAGAAGACGAATAAATATTAAGAAATTTTGAATAGACTGATTTTGAAGTAAATAAACAATATACTGAAAATATCAGCAGCCAAAACAACGAAAACTACGCGAATAATTGTTAATCGTACATATCCTAGAAACTAGTTTCAAAGTAGACATCCCAACATTATAAACTGTAACCTGGAATATTTTGGGGTCAACTAAGCCAGGGCAATTATCTGCTAATAACGAAATGTAAATCATTTGAATTCATCTCATTAGCCTAACAATGCTGTGTTTGCTGTGGGATGTGTGATCTACTAGTTTGAAACCATAAAACAGTTGAATGAGTCGTTCTCTGTTCAATAAGTTTTCGTATGATGTCAGGTTTGAACAACAATTCAATTAAAACGGATTTCGTTTATTTGGCGAATTATTATTTTTCTAAAAGTTTTTGAAGATCTTATTACATGAAGCTAGGTAGCATTAATTACACAATACGCGTTTACATCGTATACTAACTGGATAAAGAGTTGCTCTGAAAATGAAAGAATGTTTCGTATCTCACAACAGATTTCATAAGTTTGTTATTTCTGACGATAATATAGATAGCAATAACAATAAAGTATATTCTAATGAATATTTGTTTTACCATTATCTATATAATATGATGCTTTGCTAACAAACAAATTGACTAGATAAATCAACATTAGTAAATTTTAAACTTTCTCCCACAAAGCATTTTTGCTGATCTACCAACTGGTCAGTGTTTTATGGTTATATATCCAAAATATAATCGGTATAAGCCGGGTTAAGTGTACATTTGGAGCTGACGATTTTTAAGCTTAACAATATTGTTCGACAGACTTTATCATGTTATTAACTAAACATGTCAACACACCTTAGATACTGTTGTTAATTTCTAGACTATTCACAGTTGGAAATTTGATTATTGGAATAGATTGTTCAGTCAGTCAGTTAGCCACAACGTAGGACCAGACACATATATGCATCGGTCCATGTTGCCATACCTCATTAGCACAACAAGATGAACACCGAATTCATTGATTGTTACACGAAATCGGTAAAAAAAATGATGTTCAGGTCTGTGATTTATTTGAGAATATAGTAATGTCGATCTTCACTTAATATCCAAGTGGAAATTTTCAATGACGAATTACTAAAAATATCAATATTTCCATTATTTATAGAATTAAATGCTTTTTTATGAAGAGAAGGTTGATTGAAATATAAGTATCTGGTAATAAAACAAAATTGATTTGGCTGACTCTTCCTATAGCTTTCACAAAAGTCAACAATATAACCATGATATCAAAACTTAATAAATAACCTCAAGTTACGAGATAGAAAATGATTAATTTCATTATTTTTATTTACGAAAATTTTAAAATATTACTCTACAAACTACATTTTCATAAAGTTATGTCTTAAAAAACTGTTTATCGATAAACTGCTGAAATACATGATGTGTAAGTAGGTTACTTAGGTTACCGAATACGTTATTATTATTATTTTTAATTAAGAGTTATAAATTTAGTCTTTAGGTTAGTCTACTTGCTATTTATTTAATAAAAGGAAATAACAAGGTTATAATGATTAAAAAAATACAGTAAATTTTCAAATAACCCAAAGAAATATCATACTACGTAAACAAGCTAGAAGTTATATAGACTCAGTAGATAAGTATATCATAACATTAAAAAGCATCCGCATCCAAATTATAAGTTCTAAATAGGAAGAAATGTACTTCTTAAATTTCACTACTAGCTACAGTTCATCCACACTAAAATAAATTGAGTAGATTAAAGTTTAAAGGATATGCTTTTACTAGGATAGTGTTATACACAAACAAATCTATGTGATTAGATCCTATGTAATTGCAGAATATCAAGTATAATTAAGTGTACTGTTATTATAGAGAAATATATAGTAATTTCATATTGAATACAATTTATTGATGACCAAATCCAAAATTTACACGTGATTAGATAAAAATGTCGAAATGAAAATTACTACAATTATTGAATATGAAATGTTTAATTACTAAGTATATTAGTGTGTAAATTTGGTCTAATTCAGAATAAACAGGTTCCGTGTTTATTTAAATTGCGGGAAACAAGAAACAAAATTTTGTTCTTTTGTTACTATGATTATAATGTCTAAATTAGAAGTTGATGTTTTAATCATTTAGTTAAGGTAAATAACATATGGCCAAACAATATAAACAAACTAATTTACTCGGCAACTAAGATTATCAACCAAATTATAAGCAATCAGGTAATAATACTCCCTGACAATCATCTGTAACTATCAAGAACATGCGTGACATGAATAGTTGCGCAAATGTTACATAAGATTAATTTTACTTTAGAGTATGCTGGTAAGTTTTTATGATGTTTAATGCAAATCATAATGTTCCTAATTTCATAACAGTTGTTATTGTTAATTATGGGAAATGAATTGAATTTCATAATCATCATAATGGAGTAGGGTGTAACTATGGTGAAGTAAATGAAGATGAAACTGTTGGCTAATAATTTTGTAAATACTGATCAGTATGACACGAACTAGCAAAAGTATGCACATGTCAACTTAATTTTAATTGTCATTTTAGATTAAAAGACACTACGTTCCACAAGCCACATATAAATGACAAAATTCCAACTTGGTCCGATATGGTTTTAAAGACACTTAAGAACATGTGACATTAGGACTTAAAAATAAACATCAGACCAAGAGAAATAAAACCGATAATTTTTGTAATAGTTATTTGAGAATGTGTTTCGTTTGTAGTGCAGGCACATCAAGCTGACGAATCCCAAATAAGACAAAACGCGCATCCTGGATTCAACTGCTAGCCACTATCCATCTTTGCTTACAAACGTTAAATGATTTTGTGAATAATAATAAATGAATATTTAGAGTTAGAACAAAAATAAGCTACAGACATGTGGTGAATAGGATAAGGAATACACACACATGCACTTACATAAAAAACAGTCAAGTTGACAAGCGAATATTTAACAAGATCAAATTGTGACTCAAGAAGAATGAATAGATTGGCCTGTCCGGGATCTAGAATCAGCTATATAGGCTTGACATAGTAACCGTCACAACAAGATATGTCTTGTTGACCAGTTTTAATTAACCCAAAACTCTAGTCCAGGACATCCTATTGCTAGTCTATGACAGTCTAACAGTATTATTATCACTCGTACATTTTTAACAAGTTGAATAATACGAATTTATTTAACATGTGGACAGTTAAGGTAAATCACTATAAGCACAGATGAATGAATTTTCAAAACGTTATCATAATAATTATTCTCAATGGAAATTAATCAACTCAACAAACTGAGAGGCGAAAATTATTTTCTATCTAATTAAATTCATATTGGTTTCTACTGTTAGTATCAAGCTTATAACAATCAAAATAGGTGTGAACAAATATTGTAACAATTCACTGTGGTAACTGAATAGATACTGTACATTTAATTAGGTGCTAACCCATGGTAAAATTAATTCATACAGTCTACAAATTCATATTATATTGGTAACTACGCATAAACGAAATACAAGTTAATAATCGTAATGAATTTGTACTATTAAAATACGTGTTTAATTGAATATGTAATCCACTTTACAAATGAAATTACTTTTAACATTTGAATAATTTGCGTTATATGCTATGTTGTTACTTGGGTATAAATTCTCAGAAAAAATTGTCCGCTTATAACTTCGCATCTTCAGACAGCCACTGACCAAACTGTACAACACTTTAGTGTTAAGTGTAAATTAGGTGATGAAAAGTTCCAATATAAAACGTTACAATACAATTATATAAGTATTCAGTTTATGAACATATAGATCTCTTTACTAATACTCAAACATTAATTAGTGAAAGATTGGAACTAATAAATTATGTTTTAGCTTATAACTAAAGATTTGACTATCTTTTTTATTATGGAACATACAGTTGATATATTTTTAATACCGAGTATGTGGTTGTGGAGATTGATGAGTTTCACTGAAACCATAAACCGACCAAAGTTAGACAACTATGGGAATTCTGGCAGAATTAAATTGGTACTTCATTCCAGCATACGCATTACTCAGTAGTACGAATTGAAAGTACTAGCTTTGATCTGGTATTGAAAGCTTAATCCCTAAACCACTGGTATTTAAGTTTAACTTGAATCAATCAACGATACTTCACAACCATCTTATACCTGACACCCTTTAACTCCATTGATCATAATTCCCCACTAGGAATTCGAAGGTTTCTCCTTGAGACTATTTTTTAGTGACCACATGATATTTATCAGTTATGGTTGTGGAGATTGTACTTTTAATAGTCCGAATATTAATCATTATAAAGGTTTACAGAAAATCTGTTTCCAACGATATTTAATTAGTTTAGTTATGTAAAATTTGTAAATCAGTATTGAAAAAATACGTTAAATTCATTATAATGTACATCATACACAAAGTCGTAAAACGTTAGAAATTTGATTTCCTATCTACTAGGATATTATTTTGTAATTGACATTTTATCTAATAGTCAATTTATTTGGGAAGTGTCAAGTTAAACCTCGGTAATGATACTTACAGAATTACTGTTGTGAGAAAAGAGAAATCTTAGCAAAATAGAAGAATCACAACATTTAAGAGCTAAGTGTTTCTTTCCAATGGAAACTGAGAACTTACGCTTAAAGTTATATGGCTCATTTTTTCAAAAAAAAGCCACAACATTTTTTCTTGATATATGTGAATAAGAACTGTTAGATGATCAGGTAGATAATAAATAAGTTTTAAGTAAATATGCGAGTTCGATTTCAGTAAAATGAAAGTAAAAAATGATTAGTGATAAAAATCAAATACTACTCTGAGGCAATAAATAATAAGCATCAAATTTTGTTGCCAGACATTATACAACAAAACTTGATATAAATTTAATTAAGTAGAACTCAAATATAATTAACAGTTTGGCCCAACAACCAAGTCAGTAAATCGTTGGACTATCGACCTCAAAAATTCTTTTGTTCGATTTTTTCTGGATCTAGATTATTATTCAATAGTTATGATACACAAAGTATTTCACACC